AGATGATGTTGATGCACCACCTTGCTGAAGAGCTTCGATAATTCTCAAGTTGTCACTTTCTATAATGATCGAGGTCCATCCCTTCATTTGCACCACTGCTTGTAGCACACACATGCCTCGTCGTCCACCACTCTCGGTTTTCCCACGATCTTCATTACTTTCCACCATATGCAATTTCCTCTATCATCCCTTGCTACCATGGAAACAACAAAATGAGCTTCTCCTGGAGGAAAAGTAGCGTCAACATTCATCTTAATGGAATCTATTGGAGGCGGACTCCAAACAGTAGGATATTTTGTGGGCAGAAAATTGACTGTCTTAATTTACGCATGATAAAATGCAAGAAGATAAACAACGCTCCAACTAGCTATATGTCGCGGGTCGAGATATCTCGTTCTCCATGAATCTCTTGATTTATGTTCTCCCATATTTTCCATAATAGAACCCTAGCACACAGATAAAACTCAGGGGATAAAGAGAGTCGCGAAGATGCTCCATCCAGTTCCACACAGAGTGGCGTCCTTCGAACGGAGGAATATGAAAATGATATTCACTCCGGACCTTGCCAATGGCTCTGCTCTCATGGAAGACATGCAGAGTAGTCTCTTCTGTTCCAACACACGCACAACAAAATGGGGAGGAAATTATCTATCTTCGGAACAACTCTACATTACAGTAAACTTACCATACGTCGAAAAATGCATATCACCTTATCTCGTATATGTGAGCTTCCAACGGGGGCAACGAGAATGCGGTCTCGATCAATGGGCCAGAAGATACTCGATATTAAAGGAAGATTCCAGGTGTGCATTGTATGATCAATGAGCTCTTGATAACCCATAAAATCAAATATTGCGGTAGTGTTCTTTGATTCATGCATATATTTCACACCCCACCTTCAATCTTGATGATCCGAGTTGGATTAGAATGCTAGCCTACACAACTATTAATTCCGGGTTTTAAGTTTTGATAAATTCAATCTTAAAAATTGTGAAAATTACTTTTGAAGTTGAAACGATATTATTTAAGCTGAAACAATATTTATCACATCCCAAATAAAATATAGGGTAAATTACACCCACACCCCTGAGGTATGCTTAAATAACTGTAAGGTCCCTATGGTATTGATAATTACACTCACCCCCCTGAAACATAGTTATAAACTCTAATGGGATAATGCATTGGATACGTTATTACGATAGAGTTCTAACGGACTATTGATTTCAGAAATGTGGTGGAGACGACAAAGAGTTATGGGTGATTTAAGTAATATTTCGGGAGGCATGTCACCTCATTACTCCCCATAACTCTATGTTATCTCCACCACTAGCTAAAAGTAATAGTCCATTAGAACCCTATCGGAATAATCTATCCAATGCATTATCCCGTTAGAGTTTCTAACTACGTTTCAGGGGGGTGATTGTAATTGTCGATACCATAGGGACCTTACAGTTATTTAAGCATACCTCAGAGGTGTTGGTGTAATTTACCCTAAAATATATGTGAAGTAATAGGGATAATTACATTTTTCGTCCTTATACTTTACCACTTATTCGTTTTTCGTCCCTAAACAAGTTGGAGTGACATATTCGTCCCTAAACATGCCATTTTTTAGCAGTTTTCGTCCTGCCGTTAATTCTTGCTGTTACTTTGGATGGAAATATGACGTGGACCTGAAAATCTTAATATATGCTGCTGACATGGACGATTAATCCACGTGACCACTCACATGTACGCCGCTGTTGATATGTTTCGTGAAACCAACTCATATTAACTCAAATTACCCATGCATTGGCACCCAACAAGACTCATCTTTAAACTTTGCTAGAGAGAACGAGCCACCATGCACATTCCATTTCAACTTTGCAGACGAGCCACCACCATGCAATCAGAGACTCATTCCCACCTAATTAAGAGGAAATTCTCAGAATTGAATATGAACGATACAATTGTTGTATGAATAATATTTATTTCGACTTTGCATGAAATTTCCATATTTGAACTCAAAACACACAGTGACATACACACACTTTTGAATTAATGAATATAGAAGACCTGCAACTACATCTAATTTTTTTTCTATTCAATATTATTAGAGACGATTGAAGATTGCATCAATCAAAAACAAGTTTAAATAATATAGGTTTAATATCCCCTATACCGGCCATGACAATTTTTTTTGTTTAAATGAGTAGTTAACGTCAATTGGGTTTTTTTCATATATGGAGATAATGACTAATAAGGTTAGGTAAACTAAATTAAAGTTTACAAAATTGCAAATCATGCAAATCCTCAATATGTAACAAAACAAACAATTCTTGTTGAGTAGCTTAACATATTACAATTTCATTCAAAAAATCCAAATGTATTAATTAACATCTTCTCTTCGAAGAAAAACATCATTCAAAATATAAATTACATTGCATCAGATTTGTATGATGGAAAAAAATTGTATTTTGGGGATTATTGAGGCTATTTACGAGTCCAAAGAGGAGTGATATTGAAGAAATTAGCCATTTGGAAAATAAGACTTATGTTCTGAAGAAGATGCAATCTGAAATTGAAGAGATGGATTGACTCTTACGTATCATGTGCGAAGCACATGTTATTTTCCGTCCAAACTAACCAGCCAAATTGACGGAGGGACGAAAATAGCAGAAAAATGGCATGTTTAGGGATGAATAATGTCACTCCAACTTGTTTAAGGACGAAAAACGAATAAGTGGTAAAGTATAGGGACGAAAAGTGTAATTATCCCTGAAGTAATACAACAAAAAGCTGAAATACATTTATCAATGCCCACAATTATTGCTCTCTAGCCCGCATGGGTATAGCTCAACTGGTTCCGGAGGTGGTAAGTTGGTACCAGGTCTTAGGATCGAATTCTGGCAGCCGCAGTGTGGGAATTTCAACTCCAATGAGGGTTGGTTCCTTGTGAATACCAGGTCTGGGTCCACTACCTTAACGGGCCGAATACTTGTCGGACCAAGGAATGGCGGCCCTGGTGACGACGGATTTTTCGCCTTTGTTACAATTATTGCTCTCTAAACATTCTAGAGGGCCATCATTATTATCATTACATCTTTTGGCCCACTAATAATAAATTATTGCTCATAAGATAAAATTGAACAAATTATTTTTATTCAATCAATTTCTACAAACGAAAATTATCATAAAAACACCTCCCCCCCCTCGCCACTTCGCAGAGTTGTGCACTCACTTGCCGGCGAGATAGCCACCGAACTCCTCAAACTCCAGAAAATCCGCCTCCTGCCGCTCGAGCGCCGAGCATCTCATCCTCTACATGCAGGATCATCCAGGAAATCAAACTCTCCGGCAACGAGCTCCCTCAGCACCGGCAGCGCCAGCTGGATCAATTCTCCGAGACGCTCACCGGAGGACTCAATTCTCCCCGTTGGAACGTCTACCGGAATATTCAATTGACACGGAAGATGGAGAAATTGGAGAAAACCGTTTCCAGATTCATGACCGGACCTATGCATGTATGATATTTATAGTTTCAATTCATACATCGATGTATTTTTTTTTTTTTTCCCTCAATTGAAAATGAGAAATTACGATCGTGTCCTTGCCGCACGTGCTGGCTGACGTGCACCACGTGAGGGTGGATATGGCGGAGAGGTTTGACGGGCTGGAGTGGCGGCTGGGTGCCATGAAAATTAGTTTTCAATAAAATTATCTTCTCTCTTTTTAGTAGCAACCTACCAAATTAATCGAAGGGTTAGGACATGCGGTGGAAATTGGAATAGAATTTTCGATTTTGAAACAATATTTTTCATTCCGCATCAGGAAAGTTCCGATTTCCAAAATTTCCAATTCATTTCAACGGATTTTTTTTCCGATCCAGTTTTAATTTTCAAACATTTCTAATTTGTTTCCGAAAACTACACTTATAATATCAATATCATTATGTATTTTATACTATAGAGAACTAAAAGAATGTAACTTTTGAATTCCACCTATTCTGATTTGAAATTTCCGATATTAGAACAATTCTTTTTACACCAATTTCTGAAATTCCGATTTTTCCAGATATTTCTGGAACTGGATTGAAATTAGTTTTTTCTTCTGAAAAATTGGAATTTTTCTGAAAGTTCTAAATTTCGATTTGATATGTCCGATTTGCATCCCTAGTTAGGCCGGTTTTGTAGATGTTGCACCCGGTGAAGTACGCATGCACCCGGTGAAATACACATGGTGATTTTAACCATAGATCTATACATAATAACACACACACCCATGTGTACATAGGCGGAACTTACAAAGGGCTAGGGGGGCTGTTGACCCCCCAAGATTAAAAAAATTTTTTTTTTTTAGGTATTTTAGCACTATATTTTTTGAATATTACTTTTGGCCCCCCTAAAGTTTTTGAAAATATGCATCTTAATCCTTAATTTTTTTGTTTCGTATCCATATATATATATATATATATATATATATATATATATATATATATATATATATATATATATATATATTATATAAAAATATAAAATAAAATGGTGAAAACTTGTATTATTTTAAATAATATTTATGAATATTTACATATTTTTGAACTTTTTTTATCAATAACTCTAAAAATTAATATGAGACGATGCCATGAATCCCCAAATATTAAGTACGATACATTATTAGAATAATTTTAATTAATTTAGAATTTTTTGTCATGCTTAAAATACGATAAAATTATAATATATATGACATTTTAATTAAAACATATCAATATAAACTTATTTTTGTAATGTCTTGTGAACCCCGAAATTTTAGCTAGCCCCCCTACATTTTCATCCTGGTTCCGCCCCTGCATGTGTATGTGTGCTTAGTGAGTGGTTATGTCTATTTGTATAAATCTATGGTTTAAAATCACCCGATGTATTTCACCAGGTGTAGCATCTTACTATTTAGTCAATAGGACTTACTAGTGGCAACCGTAACCTAACATTTTTATGTCCTGTTTGCTTTAGAGATTAATCACAGTACTTAAAGAAGTGAAGTGTTTTAACAATTGATTCCGTTTGTTAATTCCCGCAGGCTATTTCAATAACAGGGTGTTCTTTCTCACTGTGTCTCAATCTCCGAATGTGGAGCAATTGAGGTCAAAATTTTGGAGAATGGTATCAGGGAATTCCATTATGGATAATAGCAACAGATTTCCACAAATAAACTTTCAATACCAAGTCGGAAATTCTGCACGAGCCCTATTGGTTCTTGACGATGTTTGGACACTGTCGGTGCTCGAACAACTATTGATCAAGATCCCCGGTTGCAAAATCCTAGTCGTTTCGCGGTTGAAGTTCCCTCCTTCGGTTGTTGATTGCTCCTATGAAATGAATTTGCTGACAGAGAATGAGGCTATGTCCTTGTTCTGTCACTTTGCTTTTGGGCAAACTTCAATCCCTCTTAGCGCTGATAAGGAATTGGTTAAGCAGGTAATTTGAACTAAATTTCCGAATTCTGCCGATTCCAATCCGATCCAAATATTTTCGATTTTGGATCATTGATATTTACTCCGAATTTCAAAAGTTTCGAGTCTTGTTCTTTCGTTTTTGTTAAAGGAATTGGAATACATAATAGATTCCGAATTCTGACCCTAATTTTAATTTCTGAAAATATTTCCAAAAAAACAAATCCGATTTTTTCCCCTAAATTCACACATTAAATATCTATCTTATTTTGTATTTTATATTATAGGTTACTGAAAAAATAGAGAGAGGATATTTGTTTCTATTTCCAAAATCAATTTCCAGTTTTATACTATTCATAAAACTGAGATCATGTTTGTTTGATAATTTTATCCAGAAAATCCCATTTTTTCTTCTCAAATTTCTATTGGAAATACACTATTCATACTTTTTTCAATTTTCAAACCTACTAAAACCTACTAACTAACCTATATATTTTATTCCACCAACTCATTTCTCTCTCCTTCTATTCATCACTCCTCATTAATATTTACACTATCTCCCCTCTCATTTCTCTCTCCTCATTAATATCTACACTCTCTCTCCTCCCAATTTATCTTTCTTCTTCTAGTAATAGTAAGATTAGTCAGTAATAAAGATATGAATAATAGTAATAGTAATAGTAAGATTACTCAGTAATAGAGATCTGAATAAATATAAAAGATTATTCAGGTTGCTTTTAAACCTCTAACCTTAGAAGGGTTACCAGAAAGCTTTATAGCAGCTCTAAGAGACGGTAGAAATTTAGATTGGAAACAATCGTTGATGGGTATTATACAGTCCAGTTTGGCCCATGGCCCGGTTTATTTTAATATTTATCCTAATTTACAGTTATCTCTAACTGATATTAATATTCTGGATACTTTAACATTAAATATTAAAACTCATGCTCCAGGATCTGAAGTTATATGTGTTTGTTATAGAATCTATTACAAACCTCTTTATACCTTGAATCCCCACTGTCAAATGGTTGACAAAACCATTAAATGAAACCATTCTTATAGAAACTAATTTTAGTGATCTGAAATCATTACTAGAAGATCTATCAAATGGAATGAAATAACATTCTACGAAAATTGGATCATAGAAAGAGCTGTTCATGCTCTCCCTAATACTCAGGATAAAGCTACTAATATAGTGCAAACTCCTGAGGGAAACGTTGTCATCAATTTTGATAAATCTAAATATTCTCGAGGGCAAAAATCTAGATCACGTATTTCTAGATCCAGTTCTTCCTATTGTCATATATCTCCTCTTGATTATGAGGTTAAGTCCCCTTCTAGGTGTTCCACTTCTCAAATCAGAGAAACAGAAAAATCTTTTGATGATGCTCTTCCTGATACAGTTGAAGAATTAAGAATTCATCCTGACAATATTGTTAGGGGTATATATAGAGTTGAAGCAGATATGACTGCATCCGAAATGAATTTTTCTGTTTAATGGATTTTAAATAAAAAATTGATTTTAGCCCGGGATCACCGACAAGAAAACTTATTCAGCAACAATTCAATCTTCCCAGATGGGAACCATTCAAAAAATGGTTTTTTGAAAACTTTACAAAAGAAGATAGAAAAATATTTCAAGAAATTTTTTATAATGATCTTTCGGAGAAAAATATTAAAATATCTTTTGTCCCATGGTTTATAACCAACTATGCTGAAAATTATATTTCTCTTATTGAAAGAGAATATAAGTATTCTCAAAATGGAAAGGTTTTAAAAACAATTTTCCCTCCTTCTCAATCTTTTCAAATTGAAAAAGAAACTGAAACTAGGTATTATACTGCTTTCCAAAAACTTCTTGATAGTGAAGTCTTACCTATTACTATTGCTCATATTAATGGTTTAATTAAACAAAAAAAAATTTAGTAATATTTATTTAATTGATCTTGGAGAACAAATTATGTCTTTACATGATAGGGTAGAAAAAAATATTTCTAGCATAAATGAACTCAAAAGTTCATTTCATATTGGTAAAACTTTTATTCAAGAAAGCATTGTTATCCTTGTATCCAACCTCCTCCAGATATTAAGGATTTTAAATTAAAATCGATGTCTGAACTTGAAAAAATGCTTGATGAAAAATTCAAGAATCTTTCTATTAAAACTCTTAATAATGAGTTTGAATGCGATATGAGTGATAATGATAATTATCAAAATAATGTCCTAAAAGAGATTAACAAAATATGCTGATAAGCCTACCCAAAGGATGTATTATTATCCTAGGCCTACTCCCCAGGATGTTCTTTTTGAAGTGCAAGAGTATATTGTTAATAATTCCTATAGTGGTAAAAATATTTACGAATGGATATTGATGGTTTTACTGAGAGACAGATTTATAATGCTGTCCATAGGATGCTCATGTATAGCACTATATGCAAGAACAATGGTAATTCTGATAGAGCTATAGCTAATATGATTATAGGGGGTTTTACCGGACATCTTCAAGGTTGGTGGGATAATTATCTTACCCTGAGTAATAAAAATGATATCTTAAATATGGTTAAAGATGAAAATGGTAGACAAGTTGAAAATTCTGTCTATACTTTAATTATTAATATTATTAAACACTTTACTGGAACATGGTCTGATAATAGTGATAATCTTAGGACTTTACTCCAGAATTTACGATGTCGTACCCTTACATCTTTTAGGTGGTACAAACACACTTTCTTAGCAAGGTTATGGAACTTCCTGAGTCTAATAGTCTTCACTGGAAATCCAAATTTATTGATGGATTACCTCCCTTATTTGCTGAAAGGATTAGAAAAAAACTATAGAAAATGAGATGTTAATATAAATTATGATAATTATACTTATAGTAAGTTAATAGGAATTTGCATTCAGGAGGTCTTGGCTTTGTGTAATGAGATAAAATTAAGCCAGCAAATTAAGAAGCATAATCTTAATGAGAAGAAACAACTAGGTCAATTTTGTGGCCAGTTTGGAATAGAAAATCCATCTACTAGCCAGGATAATAGCAAGGCTAAGAAGCACAAGAAAGACAATAAATCTCATTAGTTTTCTAAAAGGAAACATAGGAAAAGACGAGAAAAAAGAGAATTTAGAAAGGAACAAAGGAGAGCCAATGCGCCCCCTGTTGTTTGTAGAAAATGTGGAAAAATTGGGCATTATGCTAATAAATGTTGGGTTAAGAAAAAACTCAACAATTTAGATATTGATAATGATCTCAAAGAAACTCTTAGTAAGTTACTTCTTCATTCTGATTCTAAAGAAGAAGGAGTGCCTATGGAAGGGCTTGAAGCCCTGGATCCTGTGAGCCTTGTAAAAATGGTTTAACCTGTGACAAGGAAGATAGCTCCGACCCAGAAAGAAGGTAATAACCTTTATCAAATTATTTCACAATTTCAAGAAATTAATGTTCTTAATAATGATAATCTCGTAGAGATTTTAAGATCTGTTAAAGATCCTGAAATTCGATCAAAAATTTCTTGATCTTTTAGGAGAAAAAGATCCTCCAACCAAACCTAATGATTTTGTGCAAAAATCTTCTGATCCATATACTATGGCAGTAGTAAAAAGAATGCTAAAACAAAAGCTAGTTAATAAAACCTCAATTAATTCTAATGATTTAGTAATTGAGGTTTCTAATCTCAAAAATGAGATCAAAAGTTTGAAAAGTTTTAATGAAAACCTTGAAGAAAGAGTTTTCAAATTGGAGATTTTTAATAAAGGAAAACAACCCCTTATTAATTTTGATTATTAAAATACTCTTCCTGAGGATGATAGTTTCTTAGGCACTTTAGAGATGGTAACTTCTCAGAAATGGTTTATAAAAATCTCTCTTCTTATTGATCATGATTATAAAAAAGATTTTATAGCTCTTGTTGATAGTGGTGCAGATTTAAATTGCATACATGAAGGAATCATTCCTACAAAATACTTTCATAAAACAACTCATTCTTTAAGTTCTGCAAATGGTCAGAAAATGGAAATCAATTTTAAGATTCCAAAAACGTTTATTTGCAAAAATAAAGTTTGCATCCCCACTAGTTTTTTACTAGTAAAAAATATCACTAACCAAGTTATACTAGGAACCCCTTTTTTAAAGAAAATCTTTCCAATAAAAAGAATTGATGAACAAGGTTTCATAGGATCCTTTGATGGCAAAGAAATTATTTTTCATTTCGTTACTGAACCATTTACTAGAATCCTAAATCAAATAAAAGATTCTTTTATAAAGTATAAAGAAAACCAAATTAATTTTCTTAAACAAGAGATAAGTATTTTAAATGTTGATGAAACTCTTCAAAATCCTAAATTACATGATAAGATAAAACTTCTTAATAATCAGTTTTCTTTACAAATCTGTAATGATCATTCAAATGCTTTTTGGGATAGAAAAAAATATATTGTCTCACTTCCTTATGAGGATAATTTTGATGAGAAAAAAATTCCAACTAAGGCTAGGCCTTGTCAAATGAATAAGGACTATCTTGAGCTATGCAAAAAAGAGATTGAAACTTTGCAGAATAAAGGGTTAATAAGACCCTCTAAATCTCCATGGTCTTGCACAACTTTCTATGTTAATAAACATGCTGAACAAGAAAGAGGTGTTCCCAGGTTAGTCATTAACTATAAACCTTTGAATACTGCTTTAAAATGGATTAGATACCCGATCCCTAATAAGAAAGATTTACTTGATAGGCTTCATGATGCCTTGATTTTTTCAAAATTTGATTTAAAATCTGGATATTGGCAAATCCAAATTCATGAAAAAGATGTTTATAAAACTTCCTTTAATGTTCCATTTGGTCAATATGAATGGAAAGTTATGCCTTTTGGTCTGAAGAATGCCCCTTCAGAATTTCAAAATATTATGAATGATATTTTTAATCCTTATAGTGATTTTATCATTGTTTATATCGATGATATTTTGGTGTTTACTGAAAATATTGAAACCCATTTTAAACACTTGGATATTTTCAAGAAAATTATTACTCAAAACGGTTTAGTTATATCTAAACCTAAAATGCAACTTTTTCAAACACAAGTTAGATTTCTTGGTTATAATCTATCCTACTTATAAAAGTATGAATACTTAACAAGTTTCTTCCCTTTTTTGTATGGACAAAATTACCCTATAAAATAACCTTTAGATATAGAATTTTTTGGATAACATGGTCATTTGACTAATATACTTTGATAATTGTAATAACTAATAATAACTCTTCCTTAAATAATTTAGTTTGATTGTATTTATAAATAAAAACAAAACCACGCATTTAATTAAAAGTGACATTTAAAATTGGCAAAAGAAATATAAAATGGTGTACTTTAGCTAGATAAGATTTAGGGTAATTAGAAAATATATGTTGGTACTAAGATAACCATATAAATATATTTTCGAAAAAAATGATAAAATTTAAAGGGTAATTAAGTAATATTGATTTCAAATCAATTTCCCAAAAAAATTATAACCAATCAGTAGTATATTGTATATCAATTAGAGTAATTGGTTTTTAGGATTCACTTGACAAAAGCACATAAAAACAATAAACAATACAATGGTGTTTAGCAACCAACGTTTAGAAAGAAGCAGGCGAAAATGATTCATGAATTTACAAATTATATGTATTAATGTAAAGTTTAAATGACATTCAATACACAAAACTCAAACGGTCTTTCTAATTTGTTATGAATTTTAATTTTAAAGCAGTTACAACTTACAAGTTACAGCATATAATCAATTTAATATTAATTTATCAATAAAATGTCTATATGGATGCATGTAGACATGACCACGGATCGGTTTGGTTCCGCTTCAGGCTCTGAATTTGGAGTAATCGTAACTGAATCGGATATTTCTGGTTCTTTACGGTTCGATTCCAGACAGTTCCCGGTTCTAATCGGTAGAACCGGTCGGTTCTTGATAATATATTTTTTTTTTAATTTTTTGTTATTATTATATTTAACTTAAAAAGAGAGTAAATTTTCTTTTTTTTAAACAGTGGAAAGAATACTTAACAAATGTAATTTTTTTTTTAATACTGAAAGTTTTTTTAAAAATACTTCAAAAATATTTTTGTACTTTCAAAAAGTAAAAGGAATTAGTTATAAAAATTAAAAGAAAAAAGGAAAGAAATCAAAAGGGCTAAAAAATGAAAAGGAAAGAATTAGTTGTAATTATAATTAATATCTAAATTATTATTTTTAAACCGGTTAGATTGGTTCTAACCGCGTTCTAACCGGCGGTTATGAAAATGGGAACTGGAATCGAACCGATTTTTCCAATTCCGATTCTGATTCTGGTTAATCTGGTTTCGATTGGGTTAAAAAACCGTTGACCCGGTTCGGTTCAGGTTATAACCGAAACCGGTGGTCATGTCTAGATGCATGTAACAATACCTAAAATATATAAAATATATAGGCTCTTTTACTATACACACTATAATATGTCATTCTCACCAGATGCGCATAAATCACAATTCAGATTCAAATAGCAACATCATCATCAACGATTCAAACTCCAATCTACAGATCCGTGTGCATGACGTATGTATTATAGCTCATGAATCATTTGGCTTCTCTTTTATTTATTATCTTCATTTGATTTATCTGGTCTTTTTTCTCAGTTAATGGAATGACTGATGAAGAAGGACTTGAGTGAATAGATCGTAGTGGGGTTACTTGATTTCTTGCTAATCACTTGTGGGGAAACTTTAATTGGTACATCTTACTGTAAGTCTCTCAAAACAGACAAGAGCATTTGTAACTACATATATGCTTTGTATCTCAAGAATTCACGCAAGATACTTAAATAAATTATATAAAAGAAGTTCTAATTTGTGATGTACATGCCTTCTCAGTTATTACAATCGAACACACATTCTCATGAATATCAAAGTGTAGAATATATCAATGGATATGGAACTTTACGATGAAGAAAAATATAATTCCACTATTTGGTTCTATCCGGTTGTAAAGGATGGAATACATGTTTAAGTATCAAACATAATCTCATTTTTTTACTATTTAACTTATTTGATAGATTATGATAAATTGATTGAATCTCTCTCTATATTTCTTTAGACCATGAATCTCTTTATATATTGCCCTTCTTTTTCCTTGAAAATTCTGTAGAACCGCATTCCTACTTGATAGATTTGTTCTGCCTCTTACATTCAGAAAATTTGTATAGAATTCACCATCTTTAATTCACACCTCTTTGGTACGCAACTCTTTAGAATTCAATGTTGCTTTAACTTCAACAAATATTTGTAATAAACCCCGACCCTCATAGAAAACATCATTTGCATGTCCACAATTTATCACTTAAATAATTTTGAAAATATATTTTCCTATTTTCAGGTATGAATAAAAGTATAACATGCTATTGATTGAAACTAAGTAAATAACGTTATTTAATGATGATCATGAGCACATCAAGATTTTGGTGGGGGGATATATTTAAATTACCAAGATCAAAATAATTTAAAAAATCATGAATAAAAATATAAGTATAATGTATGAATCTAACTGTATTGCATATTAAGTAAACGTTATATTATATTGAAAAACAATATGAATATATATCAAATAACTTAGATATTTCCGGTATCTATTTAGTTATTTCGATCGAATATATGTTAAAAAACAGTACAAATTTAAAAAAAATCACATAAATATATTGACCCAAGACGTGCAAAGCACGTCCACCTTCCTAGTATTGAAAAAAGGGAAAATTATCCCTATTAATAGAAGTATTGAATTTGCCTCTAAATTTCCTGACGAGCTGACTGATAAAATTCAGCTTCAAAGATTCTTAGATAGTTTAAATTATATATCCCTCTATATTAAAAATCTTGCTCATTATACTGCTATCCTATATGATAGGCTTAAGAAAAATCCAAAACCTTGGACTGAGAATCATACTCAGGCTGTTCAGAAAATTAAGGACAAAGTCACTAATCTTCCTTGTCTCATGTTAGCTAACCCAAATTGGGAAAAACATATTGAGACTGATGGCTCAGAAATAGGTTACGGAGGTATCCTTAAACAAGTTTCTCCAAATGATAAACAAGAATATCTTGTTAGATTCCATTCAGGAAAATGGAATAATAGTCAGAAGAATTATGCTACTATAGCTAAGGAAATTTTAGCTATTCTAAAGTGTGTTTTAAAATTCCAAGATGATTTATATAATCACAAAATTTATAATTAAGACTGATTGTCAAGCAGCAAAATATATGTTTAAAAAAGATTTTAAACATGATGTTTTCAACAAATGTTTGCAAGGTGGCAAGCCCCAATTAGCCCCTTTTGATTTTGATATAATTTATAAAAAAAGAACTGAAAATAATCTTCCTGGCTTTTTAACCCGTGAATATTTACAATAATGAATGATTTTGATCAAAGATGGGTAACCAGGATGCATTCCTATGGCATGTCTATTTACAGGGAGCGAGATGATATTCTCAAAAGGCTTGATTGGCAAATGGACTATAGTCCAGATATTACTTCTTAATAAACAGATAATAGCTTGATCATTTTATATTTCTAGGATGAGCCACCGCGGACGGGGAAATTCCTCTTATAGAAGAAGAGGAAGAAGAACAATTGCCCAACATGGGAATCAAAGGCTCATAGCCGAGAATATTGCCAATATTACATCATCCTCTTCAAGTAATACTTTAAAAGGAGGAGATGGACTTTTATTTAAAGAATTTATGGAATTCAAAGCAAAGCATGGTAATACCAGTCAAAACAGCCCTTCTTATGCTAATGTTGTCCTGGAAGATGAGGTAGAATCTGATGATTTACCCTATGAGCGGAATACATGCAAGGAGGTAATATTACTCTTAGAAGATAAAGATCTTCGATGGAAAGGTGAAATATGGCACCTTATGAATAGATATCTTAATACGGCATCATTTACTGCTGGTTCATACAAACAGCGAAATCATTATGAAAATATTCTAAAAGCTACTAGCTCCTGTGAATTTTCACACTTTTATCCAGGGAAAAATACACAAGCTTATAGCTTCAGCAAAGTAATCATTAAGCAGATAATATCTGCAGAAGAATGGGGGTTAAGTACCCTAGGAGAAAAAGGATATTTCAGACCTGACCAAAAAATCCAGGTTAAGTACAATTATTGGGATTATGTCGAAGCATTTAATAAAGCTTTTTTATATGAGAACCCAATAAGAAAACATACTTGGTTCTTCAAAATTTGTCCTAATGTTTATAAAAAGGATATTCCAAATTGGTTATCCCAATGGTGGCTATCTTTTGGCCCGATTGTAAAATTTTTACCAGAACCTTATAGAGGTCTCTATGCAGAATGGGTGAAAATTTCACCAACTCTTATTGAAGCTGAACACACTAGTAAGTGGATTGAGAGAATGCCCTTTTTTCACTTCTTTATTGAGTTTGGTATTCCATGGATCTGGAAATGGGAACCAGAGTTGGGTCATACCCCACAAAATATACCATGTATAAAAAGGGCAACCAGAATGCTCAGGAAAAATGAGCATGGTGTCATTGAAGGACAAGAAACTATTGATAAGATCCAGGGTCATATCCAAGAATATAAAGAACAAATCCAGTTGAAGCAACAAAGGGAAGCCCCCAGCCCGTTTCAACATCTCTCAAGGAAATTAAACTTCCACAAAGGACAGATGACTGACAAAGAATTAATTGCTTCTTACATGGAAGAAGTAAAAAAAGACTTGGTAAGAAATTTTGGAATTGAATATCATTCTGACATTTCCATGGCCACCTCTTCACATGATGATGAAGAATATTGCAATCCTGATGAATCACAAGATTCATATGGAAACGAAGCAGATATTTCAGTTGATGATATCATCAATAATGTGAAACAATCCATTACGGAACAAATTCAAAGTTCCACTACAGCCAAAGGGAAAGAAAGAATGGAGAAATAATTGCGTTTGGGTCCCTACCACCTTTCATAATGGGTTAGGGAATCTTCTTTTTAAAAAAAAGTCACTTTAATAAAGCAAATGCTTTTATAAAGCAATGTATGTTTTTGTCTTCTTTTATTTGTTTTTATCGTTTTTTTGATACCTCCCCTCTCTATTTAAGGGAGCTCTTTCCTTGTTTAGAGAAGGCATAAGTTTAGGAAATCAGAATTCTCTAATAAATTTTCTTTGTAAATTTCCGACGAAGTTTAAAGTTTTCAGTATCATACTTGTGGGCTCCTAAGTAAGTTCTTACTCTTATTTTCAATTCTTTCTTTGTATTTTAAATTTTATTTTTCGTATCGCCACCTATATGGTCGGCTAAGTTTTTTGTTGAATAATATCATGATACTAAGATCTGATAGCATGGCATAAATTAAAAAAAAAAAAAAAAAAAAAAAGAGTACGATGGACAAAAATTATAATGTCTGGTATGGTTTGGATTAAAAACAGGCAGGGATTAGGTTGAACACCGAAGTCTGGATTCGCCCACCTTGTTGCCATGTTTTCGGCATTTTTTTGGGCTTGCCTCCATGACTGGTTAAGAACTAAATCCCTTGACAGTTTTGAACTCTGTAAAAATATCCATGTACAGTCTTCAAGATTTTGTTTATGGTTCTCACCAAATTTAATTAAATTAAATAAAGGTCCTGTTAAACCTAATCCCTGCCTGTTTTTAATTCAAACCATACCAGACATTATGCCATATTTTTAAAGGTCCTATTTTTTTTTTTTTTTTTTTTTTTACTTAAATATTATGCCATGCTATCAGATCTTAATATCATGATATTATTCAACAGAACTTAGCCGGCCATATAGGCGGCGATAGAGAAAATAAAATTTAAAATAAGAATTAAAAAGAAGAGTAAGAACTTACTTAAGAGCCCACAAGTATGATACAGAAAACTTTAAACTTCTCCGGAAATTTACAAAGAAAATAATTGAGAGAATTCTGAATATCTAAACTTCTGCCTGCTCTGAACAAGAAAAGAGCTCCCTTAAATAGAGAAGGGAGGAATCAAAAAAGTAAAAACAACAAACAAAAGAAGACAAAATTATACATTGCTTTATAAAAGCATTTGCTTTATTAAAGTGTCGTTTTTTTGAAAAAGAAGATTCCCTAAACCATTATGAAAGGTGGTAGGGACTCGAACTCAATTGTTTCTCCATTCTCTCTTTCCCTTTGGCTGTAGTGGAACTTTGAATTTGTTCCGTAATGTATTGTTTTACATTATTGATGATGTCATCAATTGAAATATCATCTTCGTTTCCATATGGATCTTGTGATTCACCAGGATTGCAATTTTCTTCATCATCATGTGAAGAGGTGGCCATGGAAATGTCAGAATGATATGCAATTCCAAAATTTCTTACCAAGTCTTTTTTGACTTCTTCCATGTAAGAAGCAATTAATTATTTGTCAGTCATCTGTCCTTTGTGAAAATTTAATTTCCTTGAGAGATGTTGAAACGGGCAGGGGGCTTCCCTTTGTTGCTTCAACTGGATTTGTTCTTTATATTGTTGGAAATGATCCTGGATCTTATCAATAGTTTCTTGTCCTTCAATGACACCATGCTCATTTTTCCTGAGCATTCTTTTCCAAAATTTGGTGTAAGTTACCCTTTTTAATCAGGGTATATTTTGTGGGGTATGACCCAAATCTGATTCCTATTTCCAGATCCATGGAATACCAAACTCAATAATGAACTGTAAAAAGGGCATTCCCTCAATCCACTTATTAATGTGTTCAGCTTCAATAAGAGTTGGTGAAATTTTCACCCATTTTGCATAGAGACCTTTATAAGGTTCTGGTAAAATTTTTACAGTCGTGCAAAAGATAGCCACCATTGGTATAACCAATTTGGAA